GTTTCCAAGCGATCGCATTACAGCACCAAATATTGCAAAAACGCATGATCGCACGGGCCCGCCCGTTGCGTGTCGCCAGTGATTTGATCTTCTCCTGCACAAGGTAGAAGCAGCAGTGGTGTCGCCCATCTTCTCGCAACAAAGTATCTTCTCTCACTGCCTTGTTCTGATTAAATTTAAACGCCTATTGAGTTTAAACCAAAACTCGGCTCGGCCCAACCCAACAGCACAGTTTGCACTTCGTGGATCTGAGTGCGAGCTGCACAACTCACAGCGTGCACGAGTATCGAGTTTTTCTGTCCAGGTAAGACCATCGGTGTTGCGCATGGGCTTGCCTGCCTACTCCTGGCGGTACCTGCTGAGCTCGTATATGCCCTCTTCCTCATCCCTAGCATTTCCCGCCCCGATCCCCAACTCTTGCCTCTCGGCGGTGTCGCGGTTTGATCACACTCAATATGCCCAGTTACGAAAAAAAATCCTCGAGAACTTAGGCTGTCTAATCAGCCGGGCCTTCAATTGGCATCTTGCTAACGGTTCTACAATCCCAAATTTGACTCGTCCGTTTGTGTGACGTAGATGCGCGTTTGAAATCGTCAGCTCGCACATGGAAATTGAAAATTTCTGTAAGAAAAAATTGAAAATTTGAAATGGAAATTGAAAATTTCTGTAATTTTCCTGCCAAAAAATTTACATGTTTTCTTATAGGCGTCCGTACGTGAGGCCCAGGCTTACGTGAATGATAGCATTAAAACGGAGGTTTGCGCAAAAGTGGGTGAAAAAGTGCGAGCATGCTAGATTCTAACCAAAAAACTCTTTTAAACATAGATTGCAGATTGCTTGGAGTTTAACACATGCGTTAGAGAAAGACGCACTGTCATGGTGCGAGCCGCAGCAATTGCAGATGCATTTTGGTGCCATGCTTTGCTTTCATCCCCCGTCCCCGCTTCTGGTATCTTCCGGAGCGGCTCATTGGCCGAGCTGTTGCATTCTTCCTCGCTTGAGACTGCTCGGTACTGAGATGCGCGCTGCTCTGCTGCCCACCGTACAAATGGGATGTTGCAGTGAACTGAGCGACAACGACAACGATGCTCATCGCCGTGCACTGACCTACGATTCGTCCAAGGACACTGGTGCTAGCGCCGCGGTTGCCTGGACAACGAGCAGCAGCAGCAGCAGCAGGCAAGCGCGATGCGCCGCCCAGAGCAGCGGCAGCAGCAGCTCACGCTGTCCGTTCGGCGCACCGATCGCCAGTCTGGAAGATCTGAGCACCGGCGATCGGAGTGGCAGCGAGGACGCAGCAGCCAGCAGTGGTCGCACCATCACCGCACTCACTGGCACATTCAGAGGTAGGCATCGATCATTCGTATTTCACTTACCACAGTTACGAGAGAGAGAGAGAGAGCGGTCGGCCGTCACGACGTTTCGCCTCACGCCACAGTGTGCTCGGGACCGCTCGTTCTGCTTGCATATGACTCTGAACTGATCTTCACTGTGCACAATGAATGATGTGTCGGAGATCTTCCAGTTTTTGCGTATATGCATATATATATATATATATATATATATATATATGCATACATATACACACGCAAAAATATGTATACATATACATATGCACATATATATATATGTATACATATATATACATATGTATCACAATTCGCAGCGTTTATTGCTTTTTATGCGTTTTTTGCTGTGCAACAACTCCACAAAACGCGTGTTGTCACGAGGTTGTCTGTGCGTGTGTCCGCAGCAGCTTGCCGGCAACTTTCAACTCGGGAACCACAAAAGATAGGAAGCTGAAAATTTCAGGGAGTGTCCCCGGACCACGTGTGACCCCAAACTTAAATTTAGCCTCCCCGTACTTCTGGGTAACGCGTACGGCCCCGTAAAAGTTTTGGCGGGTAAAATTATCACGAGAACCACGGGAGCTAGAAAGCTGAAATTTTGTGGGCCGTGCCCACATGCGACTCAGGGAATTTAAATTCAGCCTTCCTTTGCCCGCGGGAAACACGTACGACCTCGCAAACTCAAATGCACCCTTAGGTACCACCTACGGCCCGCGAACTGGGGGTAAATTATTGTCTCGGGAACCACGGAACCTGGGAAACTGAAATTTTAGTATAATGACCCCCTGCCCACGAAGTACCTCACCTATGGCCCCGTGAAAACTTTGGCGGGCAAATTATCGCCTCGAGAACCACGGAAATTGGGATACCTACCGACGTACAAACCTGCAAATTCTAAACGTCCCCGTGAATGTTTTGGCGAGAAAAATCATTAGCTCGGGAACCAGAAGAGTTAAGAGGTTGAAAATTTCTGACGAATGTTTGCTACCTAACCAGGAGTGTTACAAACTCGAATTCAGTTTCTAAATACGCTGAGTTCTCACGTACGACCGTGTGAAGGTTTCGTCTCAAAAATCATTCGAAAGCTAGAAAATTTTAAAGAATACCAAAAAATTTGAAAATTTGAAGTTCCGAAAGGATATTCATTCTTCGAGGTGCAAAGCAGTGAAAATTGTTAACAGGCAGTCGTTTGGCGAGCAGAACTGCACAAAACGCTTGACAGCACCGGGTATTCTAGTGCTTGCTGCTATTTATGTTTTATGCTGTGTAACAGCAGCGCAATCCGCGTACTCCTCTATCTGTGTGTATGTACAGGTGCATTTTGTCTCGCATTTTCAACTTGATAAAGAAGGAAGCTGGAACGCTGA